AATGGTTTGAGTCTTTACGGCTGTGATAAACATAAAAAAAATGAAAACAAGTTTTTAAAAAATAAAACAAATAGTAGACAGAGCAATAGAAAAAAATTTAACTATAAAATTAGTGGCAGTGCCTTATGCGCTCATAATGGACTGGTCTTTAAGCAGCTGTTTTTCTTTAATGAGTAAATAATTACATCCGAGCACTTTTTACCGTAGCCCCTATGAACCTCTCGCCTCTCTGATCGTATTTCCCTCCTTCTCCCCTAAGACAACCACCATCCTGAATTTGGTGTTTTCCCTTCCTTGCGTATCTTCATATTTGTTATATTTTTGTCCCTGTATGACATACAGTGTTCTGGGTGTTTTTTAAACTTATACCAGCGGATAACCCTGCACATATCCTGCACCTTGATTTCTCACTCCACGCTAGTTTTTGAAACGCATCCACACTGATGAGGGCAGCTCCGGCTCCTCCCTTCCTGCAATGACATGACTTTCCAATCTTGGAGGATGACACGACTTATTTATTCGGTCTCTGAACGTTGGAACTTTTGTTTGTTTCCGATGTGGGACGACACAGACACTTTTGCAGTTGACGCCTTTTCCACACGTGTGAGTTTTTCTAGGTAAACGCCTGCGGGTGAAACTGCGGAGTCTTGGCGTGTGCCCATGAAAATCTCCTTTGCTGCCATCCCTACCAACTCGTGCTTAAAAAATCACATTAAAAATTTGCCAGAGGTTTTTTTTTCTTTTCCAGACGTGGGACAAAAATCTCATCAAATTCATTCTTAGCAGAAAGTCCAAATCTCCGCCGTCTCCCCAGACTCATTCACCCTCTCACCCCATCAGTAATGCCCTCTTTTCCTGACACCACTGGCACGTGGCTCTTTCTAGAAGCCCCCAGCACCTGTATTTCTTCTCGCTCTTCCTCCTCCTTGGTTCCTCTGCACTGTTGGACCTTGTTGGCCTGGTGTCCAGGAGGAATAAGGCCTCAGCAATCGAAGACGTATTTCCTTACCCGCGGGGAGCCTACACTTGAGACCAGCCTCATCCAAGAGAACTGTGTGAGCGGCGCATGTGCTTTGAAATTTCTAGTAGCCCCATATCAAAAAACAAGAAGAACCAGGTGGATGGGTTTTAAGAATATAGTTCATTTAATCTGATATATCTAAAGTATTATCACTTCAACCTGTAATAAATATGAAAATTATAAAATGTAGTTTACAGGGTTTTTTAAAATAAATCTTCAAGAATCTGGCGTGTTAAAAAAAAAAAAAAAAAGAATCGGGCGTGTGTTTTGCCCTTACAGCACATCAAGTGCTGATAAGCCATGCTGCAAATCCTTGGTAGCCACATGTGGCCGGTGACTACCACGGGGGCACAGATCCAGCAAGACTTTGTTTCTCCAAGTGTGATTCTGGAAACAGCAGCGTCAACATGACCTAGAAACGTGCTAGAAATCCAGAATCTCAGAACACCCCCCAGAGCTGCCAAATCTGAATCTGCGTTTCCACGAAATCCCAGTGACTGGTGTGCACATCAGAGTCTGAAAAGTGGTCCCTAGGGACCTAACGATCTAGGACGCATCCCTGCACCCACAGCGTTCTTGTTTCCCTCTCTCATTCACTCATCAAACGTTCGTGGGGTCCTGACTCTGTGCCAAGCAGCCGAGATGGGTCACGAGGTGAAACTGGACAGTGGGCCGCATGTGGTTCGTGCCTTCGGGGAGATTACTCTCTGCTGAAAATGGTAGAAAAATCCAACCCAAACTGATTCAAGCAAAAATGCAGGTGACTGGGTGACGGTGACCAGCACAGGGTCTGGAACGAGCTGATGACTCTTGGGCAACTTTCTTCGTCTCTCTTCCTGGGTTCCGTATGCTCTGAAAATGAGAAAACCGTTGTGCTGGGCACGGTTGGTTATTGGCCCAGCACCCACTGCACTGTCCTCTCCTCTCGAGCAGGAGAACTCTGGCTTCGGTTCACGGTTCATTCCTCTGCTACACGGTCCAGGGGCCCAGGGAAAACCGAGGTTAACCCCAGCTGCCCAGGGCGTGGCGTTTCCATGTCCATCGTTCCCGCGATGCCCCTCCTCGCCTCGTGGTCCTGGGCGCCACGTTGGGGGAAGCCACGGAGGGATTGGGATGAGGGGGGTGGGTGCCGCCGCCTCCACCTTTCACGCCGTTTCCTCACTTGCAGACCCAGTGGAGGCCCAGCCTCATCGAAAGGGAGCATTCAGCCCATGTCTCTTGAGGGAGCCAATGGTCCACACCATTGTCAAGTCACCCACACCTGCTGTATCAACTTCAGTCTAGAAAACTCTACAGGCTCGTGGTGAAGCCCACCAGCCCTCCCCCTAGTTGACAGGCTCAGATTCCAGCTCTGCTAAGTATGAGAGATGTGATCTCAGGGGAGCTCTCTGTTCCTCAGTTTCTTCATCTGTCAAATGGGTCATCAAATCACAGTGCCTCTCTCCCAGGGCTAGGAGAAGTGACTGGAGTGCTGGCCCCAGGGCGGAGACGGTGAGGTTAGTTACCATGGCTCTGGCTCCTCTCCAGCCCATCCCACCGAAGGGCAAACAGCTTTAGCTGCTCCAGCCTCTCCACTCAAAGGCCTAGGGGACCGAGAAGCAGCTCTGGTTGTCAAGGCTGACGCACTCAGCGGCATCTTCCCATCCACAACTGCTAAACTGGACACACTTTCAGAATAATAATAATAATAATAATAATAATAATATACAAACTGCTGCCAAAAAGTGAAAACCTAATGTGTTCCAGCCACGGCTCACAGCGCCCCCCACGCAAGCGCATGGACGCGCTGTAACCGGCGGTGCGATCATGGTTTCCTTTTAAAGAGAAGGCGGTGGACCTCATTGAGGTCATGTGATTCGGTAGCATCTTTAGAAGTAAGTGACAGATTCAGGACCTCAGCTCTCCCTGACCCCAAAGGCCACGTTTTTCATTGTCAGCTAGATAAGAAGCCCAGCCGTCAGACTGGAAAGAATTTATAAGACTAAGGATATTCAACTTCGGCGAGAATTTGGAGAACATGGTATCGCCGGACCCTGCTGGTGGGCATATAAATGTGTGCATCTATGTCGGAAGTGAATTTAAAAATTCAAATTGGATATGCACGTGTCCAGTAAACTGGCAATTCCACCTCTTGGTACCAACCCGAGAGAAACACTGTCACATGTACACATGTGAACGAAGCGAGGCCGTGTACAGCACACATGTGCAAGAGTGGAGAGCTGGACACGACCTCCAGGTACATCAGTGGAAGAAGGAGCACGTGGTACGAATACAGCCATTGGCCGGCTTCCACGAGGCTGTGTGTAAACACGGAGTAAGTCTGGGGAGCTGACACGACACAGCCTCCTATGCGTCACGTTAAAAGCGAAAAATAAGCAAATCACAGAAGAAATGTAAGGAGAACGGGGCGATCTGCATTTTTAAAAGCCCTACACATCTACGTAATGCGAGGGAAACAGCATGGAAGATACACATCAAATTGCCAGCAGGGGTTATCTCTGAGGAGGGGGGTGGATGGGGGAGGGCAGAGAATTCAAGAGGGGCTCGTTTTTTTCTGCATTATTTGAATAGCTTACAAGACTATTCATGTTTTCTTGGGGAAATTTTGCAGAGCAGCGTGATTAGATAAGGCTGGGCAAAAAGGGGAGACCACCATGCACTGATGCATAATCCTCCTGACAGCTCCTCTCACTGGAAAAAAACGCACATTTGGCAAATCTGTCCAAAACTGCATTCAGGGGTTTTACTGAAAGTGTCCGTGAGACCTGCTGACCCTGGACTGACACACCGGCAGAGGCAAGGAGCAGCGTGGGGGACGAACGTGCCACGGGTTCTTCCCGCTCTCCCTCCTCCGCCACGGAGGTGAGGGCTCTGATTCCACCCCCTTGGACCCGAGCAGCCTCGGCGATTTGCTTGACCGATGCAACGCCACACAAGGGCTGCTCTGGGCCTTCCAAGGCTACTTGGAAGAAGCCTTGCTTGGAGCTCTGCCCTTGGGACACTGGCTGCAGGGGAACCCAGCCCCTGCGTGAGGATGCTGGCTCCCTGACGTCCCTGACCATGGGGCAGAGGCCGCGTGGGGCACAGACTTGCAGCCGTCTTGGCCAAGACACCAGACACGGGGTGAAGCCACCCTGTACCCTCTCAGTCCACCAGACTCCAAATGATCACATTCAATCCCAAGAGGAGCAGAAAACCTGCCCAGGGGCGCCCCACCCAAACTCCTGCCCCCCTCAAATCAAGAGGTACAATGTACTGCTGTGGCTTTAAGCCACTAAGTTGTTTGTTTTGGGGGGGCGGGGTAGTGGGGAGGACACAATAATTCAACCCACACATCCTCTCATTTCAGTTTGGATCATCCAGGCCGCGGGGCCCCTGGACTGTGTCACCCCAGCCCTCCCAGGTCTCCTGTTCCCCCCAGAGTTTAGAGCACAGTCCTGGGGCCTTAGGCCACGGGGTGGCGTGAGGGAGGGAGAATCTGGTCCCCAGCCCTCAGTCAGCACAGGAGAGCACAGACGCTGTCCTTGTCCTTACCTGCACAGGACCCCCAAAGTCACCACGCGACAAAGGTCTGTGGTTGCCAGGCCACCACGCTGTCCACCTTCGGGGGCACTGTTCCTCAAAGGCCTTGAAGCGCATGCCTGCTGCGGGGCAGCCGCACACCCCCAGCCCGGGGCGGGAGGCTTCGGGGCTGCATCTGAGAGCAGGGAGCTTAGGTTCAGATCTCCACTTGGCCATTTCCTCGCTGTGCAACTTTGGGTCGCTTCCTTAACCACTCTGTACAGTTTCCTCAGCTAAAGAATAGGGACAACAGTGGTGCTGGCCTCACAGGAGTGTTGTAAGGACTGAATGTCTGCCTGGTGCACAGCAGTGCCCTGTGTGCGTCTGACACCATCACCACCACCATCATCATCCTCACATTATCTGAGCTGCCTAGACCAGCACACACATTTAGAAGCTGGCAGAGATGTTTCATCTGTCCGATGTGTGCCTTTTAAATTTTGAACCAATATTTTTTAGAAAGGGAGATTTCACATAAATACCCGGGTTTCTGATATCTTTTTGAAAATCTGAAGATTTGACAACGTCGGACATGCTTTCCCACCTGGCACTGGTCAGGTCTAGCCGAGCAGCCGCTGCTCTGGCTGAGCGGGTCCAGTCCCAGACCGCCCCCGCCCATCCACAGGTGCCCGTGTCCATGCACACCTGAGCCACCTGACTGGCCCTGATGGCCTCGGAGTTTGTCACCTCTGCTCTAATCAATACCTTCATTTCCCTAGTGAGGAAACTGACGCCCAGAGAGGCTGTGTGGCCCACCCAAAGTCACACAGCGAGTTGCGATGGAATTGGGACTAGACCCCAGGCCTCCTGGCTTCCAGCTTTCTTCTTGTCACTAAGATCCTTATAAATGTGGGACTTCCAGTTCTCCAGAACTGTGGGAAATAACTGTCTGGTGTCTAGGCCACCCAGTGTGTGGTGTTCTTGCTATTTTGTTAGCCCAAACAAGCTAAGACAATCATGTTTTGGAATGCTGGGGCCTTGAGAAATAAGCCTCCTTCTCTCCACATTCAGATTCTTTTCCCCAAAATGAAATGTAATTTTAAAAAGATGCTTCTGATTAGAAGTGACGAAATAGAGGTACTGTCTCTTTCCTCTTAAGAAAACTTATAGGTATATTTCCACATATATTAGATTAAATCATATGTCCTTTTATTGTGACATTTAAAAATTTATGTTCTGCCTCATTTCATAAAGGACTTAAAAACAGAAATTTGGACATATTTTATGGAAATAATTATTTAACTCAGGCACTGCTTTGTTACCGTAATAGTCAAAGTTTCTTTGAGAATTACATTTTTAGGGGCGCCCCCAAAGGCAATCTAAAAAGATGCTAGATATATCTGAAGAAAACAAAAACACTAATTTGAAAAGGCACATGCACCCCAATGCTCATGGCATCACTAGTCACAACAGCCACGATAGTGAAGTAACCTAAGTGTCCATCAACAGATGGATGGATGATGCAATGTGGTACATTTATAAAATGGAATACTACTCAGCCGTAAACACAGTGAGATTTTGAAATTTGCAACAACATGGATGGTCCTGGAGGGCACCCAGCTTAGTGAAATATCAGACAGAGAAAGACAAATATGGAATCTGTGTTATCACTTACATGTGGAATCTTAAAAATAAAACAAACCAATGAATAGAACAGAACAGAAACAGACTCACAGATACAGAGAACAAAGCAGCGTTTACAAGTGGGGAGAGGGGAGGGGAAGAGGAGTGGGGGAGGGGATTAAGAGATGCAACTGCTGTGTATAAAATAAGCCACAAGGACGTAATGTGCAACACAGGGAACACCACTAATATTTTGTAACAACTGTAAATGAAGTCTAATCTAAAATTTTGCATCATGATGTTATACACCTGATGCTACACGGCATGTCAACTATAGCTCAGCAGAAGTCAATGAGTAAACAAAATAAAGAGATGCTAGACCGGCATCAGCAGACTTTTTCTGTGAAGGGCCGGCTAGCAGACGCTTTGGGCTTTGTGGATCGTGCGGTCCGGGGCACCACTGCCCAGCTCTGCCACAGACAGCAGGTAAACACATGAGAGTGCCGTGTTCTCGTGAAACCTGACTGTGTCTGTAGAAGGCGGATGTTAGCCAAACCTACTGTGTAACCACTTCACAATATATGCAGATCAAACCAGCATGCTGCACCCCTTAAACTTACACAGTGACACATGTCAGTTATTTCTCAATTGTTTTAATAAATAAATTGTTTTAATAAATAAATAAAATAGTCTAGCCTTGGACCCAGTAATTCTGCTTCTGAGAAACTAACCATAAGGAACTCTGAAATGTGGAAAAAGCTAAAGGCACGAAGATGTCCGGTACAGCGTTTTATACTGTATACAAACACTGAGCACTAGCAGACAGCTCAGTGTAGGTGCTGTGCTCTGTCTGTCTGTGTCCGTCCCAGAGTCCTGTGTGGGAATCCTAGTGCCCAGTGTGATGATATCAGAAGGTGGGGGGCTTTGGGGTGATTGAGGGGGCCCTCATCAGTGAAAGCCCACCTTATAAAGGAGACCCCACAGATCTCCCTAGTCCCTTCCACACGAGGACACAGAAGTCTGCAGCCCCAAAGAGGGCCCTCACCCTGCCACGCTAGACCCCTGATCTCACGCAGGCCTCCAGCCTCCAGAGCTGTGGGGAGTAAATTTCTGCTGTTTATAAGCTGCCCAGTGTGTGGCACCGGCCAGCTCTGTCTTGTTACAGCGGCCAAGCCGACCCAGGCACGAAGTACAGGGTGGTAAGTACCGTCCAAGTACACATCTCTGCATCAGTGGGCGGTACGACAGCCTTCAGATCTGATGACTCCAGAGGATGCTGTCACCTGGGGAAAATGCTTTATTTTGTACTGTTAAGTGAGCCAAGGAGGATGCAAACTTGTTTGTAACGTTCAACCTCAAAAAAACAACCCTTTAAAAAAGAAACAATGAAAAGAACCACGCTCACACATTAGCTGCCTGGAGCCTGGGAGGTCACAGGTGATTTTCTTCTTGGCTGGTCTGGTGCGGTGATGGTCGTTCTTTAATTGATCAGGAAACCCATGTCTTTTCTTTCCAGAGTAACCCGGAGCAAGCAGAGAACAGCAGAGCCGAGCTGGGTGGGAGGCCCCGTGGTTGGGGGGCGGGGGGCGGGGTTGCTGTCACCGCTGAGTTCGAATCTCTGCACCACGTCCTCACCGGCTGCCTGCAGGTTACATATGCTCTTCAAGGTCTGGTATCCTCCCTGTAAAATGGGAATGATAATAAGTTCCCATTTCAAAGGGGAGTCATGAGAATTAGATGAGTTGGTGCGTAGAATATAAAAATACAGAATTACCAGGGGGAGGGGACAGCTCAAGTGGTAGAGCGCGCGCTTAGCATACGCAGGTCCTGAGCTCAACCCCCAGTCCCTCCTCTAAATAAATAAATAAACAAACCTAATTACCTCCCCCCCTGCAAAAAAAAAAGTTTGAAAAAATATATAGAATTACCGTGTTGTATACCTGAATCTAATACAATATTGTAAGTCAAGTGTACTTCAGTTTGAAAGAGGAAGAGGAAGGAAGAAGGAGAGGAGTCTCCTCCAGTCTGGTGGAAACAGGCAGAGCGTTTAGGGAAACGCAGATAAGCTGTTTGCCCTTTGCTGCCTTGTTTCCTGAGCAAGTTTCTCCCAAACGGAAAGAATCAACACCTTTAGAATAAGGTAATGCCTTTCGGGGTGGATGGGGCAGAGGTGGTGTAGCTCGAGCAGCTCAAGTGGTGCAGAGCATGCTTAGCATGTGTGAGGTCCTGGGTTCGATCCCCAGTAACCCCTTCCAAAATAAATAAATAAACCTAATTACCTACCTCCCCCTAAAAATAAAATAAATAAAAAATTTTTTAAAAAAAGAATAAATGCCTACTGTATTTTTTCACTCCCTTAACCGGCAAGATCAAAGCTTGGTACCCACTGCCATGATGACACCGTCTTTTCAATGTTACTGGTTAATGAATTCCAAACATCTGAGCACCCTGCCCCGCACCCAAAGGGAAGGTCTTCCTGGACGGTTGCTCTCAGCTGCTTCTGAGACATTCGTCCTGCGCTTGGCTGCCCTCTCCGGAAGAAGGCGAGCGAAAGCTCTTCCTGCGAAGCGGTGCCCTTTCTTTGGGTCCTCATCTGTCTGTGACGATAAGGACTCGGGGCGCAAACCGCGGCCGCGTCTGGGCGGAGCTGCAGTTGTCCCGTGGGCAGCTGGGAGCGTGCGCTGTGGGCCCTTTCCCTCCCGCGGAAGAGGTGAGAATCCTCGCGTGATTTTCGCAGCTGATGCCTGGTCTGTGCTGTATCTGTTTACCCAGCGTTCTGCAGTTGCTGAATAATTTCCTAAACTTGGCCTGGACACCCAGCAGCCAGCCTGGCGGCGGGTGACTGCAGCCTTTGTTCCGCTGCCATCGCTATTCTTAGCGAATACTGCCCCCGTGTGGACAGAGGCTGGCATTACCATTGCCTGCGGAAAACCTTTCCTGGGGTGCATTTAAGAAAGTCGCTCTAATGGGCTTTCCTTTATGAAACACAAGCGCCTTCTCTACCTGTGTCTGGGTTCTTCCCAGAGAAAGTAATCCAATTAAGTAGAGACTGCTCTAAGCTGTGGGTGTGAATCTAGGCCCTTCACGGCCTCAGTTTTCTAATCAATTAAATGGAAGAGTAGCCCCCACACCCCACATAATTTGTGAGATTGAGGTAGAAAAACTAAAAACAAAATACAGCCTAAGCTCCTTGGCATGACTCAGGGGTCAATAAACATTCACTATAATTCAGTCCTTGTAGACAGTTATTTGCTCAGAATATATATTACATATATAACAGTATATCAAATGTCATTAACAAGATTCACCGACAAGCACTGGTAGAAGTCTTGGCGGTGTTTGTCATGAAGGGTTGTCTTGGTGGCTGTCATTCATTCATTTACTTAAAATATATTTATTTAGCACCTCTTGTTTATCACGGTTCCGGGCAATGGAGACTCAATAGTAAAAAACAAAAAGGAGCAATTACCATCATTTAGACTAAAAGTCTGGGGGAGCGTAACACACTAAAAATGGGCTTTCATATTGAAAAAGAAAAGCAAAGCAATGTGTGGCACTGTGACCCACAATGACTAAACAATTCTGATCCTAGATAATACACCCCAAACAGCTGAAAACAGATATGCACACAAAAACTTGTACATGCAACTTCACAGCAGCACGATTCACAACAGCCAAAAGGTGGAAACAACCCAGATGCCCAACAGCTGATGGAAGATAAACAAATGGGCTCTGTCCATGCCCTGGAATATTATTCAGCCATAAAAAAGGAATGAAGCACTGATTCTTGCTACTACATGGATGAACTTTGAGAATAGGATCCTAAGTAATTGTGTGATTCCATTTGCATAAAACACCCAGAATAAGTAAGTCCATAAAGACATTTACATAGTTGTAACTACTGATTTTTCAGCATTTAGAATCAAGCTACAAAACAACAAGGATTTACTGTGTAACACACGGAATTATATTCAATATATTGTAATAAACTATAGTGGAAAAGAATAGAAAAAAAGAATGTAGATATAGAGTATAACTGAATCACTTTGCTGTATACCTGAAACTAACACAATATTGTAAACCATCCATACTTTGATTTAGAAAAAAGAATCAATCAATTTGACACAACATTGTAAAATGACTATAACTCAATAAAAAAAGTTTAAAAAAAAAAGAATCAATCTATGTAAGTATGGACAATGTTCTTATGGTTCCAGAACCCAAATCAAGTCTCAGATATGAAACAGAAGAAGTACGAAGGACGTAAGTAGAGAAGTGGAAGCAGAGATGTGATGAGATGGGGCGGGTACCATCATCACCATTGTTGTACAAGGTGGGGAGGCCAGAAATACTAAGTATAGGGAAATAAAGTCAGACAGCACTAGTTAGAGTTCTGAAGGTCAGCAGGAGAGCAGGAGTTTTCAACTGAAGGAGGTACCACCCACTCAAAGGACAGATCCTCCAGGGGCCGGGGGCAGGAATACTAACGTTCCATCTTGCAGTAAATGGACAGTCCTGCACTACACAACGTTGTCCCACCCAAAATGCCAGCAGCACCTGTCTTGAGGACCACGGCCACGGCCTAGCTAAACTCCCTGGTATAACAGAATGAAGAGGATTTGAGACACGAGAGCTGGTGGTCCTGTCGCTGGAGGGGCCAGAAGCTTGGCAAAATGGTCTAGCAGCAGAAGAGCAGGACTAGGGTGAGGAGAGGGTGTGCAAGGCCCTCATTTCTCATGAGAAATACCATGTGGTCATTTTTAACCACTTGCATAAATGATATGGTTCATTTTTACATAAATGGCGATTTCAACCGTAGAGAATAGGCTATGATACAGGCAAACGCAATCAGCTACAATCTTTCACTTGAATTTTTTAATGTTTTCTAATGCCACACAGTCTTTGGTTTCAAAGGCATATCCAGCTTAGAACTAGAGAGCAGCTGCATGTTTTTCAAGGGAAGAAAACACATCGTTTAAAGCCAGATAATTCACATCTCATCTCAACAAAGGATGGCTGGCATTTCTGTTACCTGACCACGGGCGCCACCGTGTGGCCATGACGTTTCCCCACTCCTCAGTCCACACTGCCTGAAGTATGTATGAGTCTTGGAGAGTATCAAATTTTGTGGGATTCACACTACTGCAGACTTGGTGAGTGCAATGGAACTCTATCTAACGTGTGCCTAATTCCCAATTTTAGATCTGCATAATTCAAATTTGCATAAAATAAGACCTTGCTGTGTCAGACAGGGGTCCAGTCAATCTGATGTGCTTCTGAAAACCTGCAAACTTCTCAACTCCAGGCCTCGTTTGTATTGTAGGTGAAAGGAGACCATCGAGCTGGCCGTGATTTGTGATTATTTGCTTTATATTAAGGATCAGCAAAAAGCTATAAAAAGACTCATTAGGGGATTCCATTTTCCAACTCGCTACACTTGCCTGCTCACCTTCAAAATCTAACCGATAATAATGAGGGAGCGTTAACACAAGTTCAACCAAAAGTTCAAGTCTCAAGTTTAACAATGCCTTTCTGCCTCTGGTCGATAAAACTGTGGACCCTGTTGTTCTGTAACTTTGCACTCTGCAGTGTCTTTCTGTTGGCCACAGGATGGTGTGAGACTCCGCAATCAGCTAACCAGCACCTGTTCAGCCTCTTCAAACCCTACCCTGGCAGAAAACTCTCTAATCAAGTGGATCCCACCTACTGATGATCCCTCAAGTGGGCCTTGCTGCCTTCAACCTCCAGAGGGAAGCTCAGAAGGAACAGCAAGTGCAAACCCTCCCAGCTCTAAGTGCAAGTCTCAGGTGAGATGGCACTTCTTCCAGGAAGCCCTCCTGAGCCTCCTCAGGGGGATCAGAGGCCGCCTTCCTCCAAGACTAGATTTCTTTTAATGTTAGGACTTCGTTGCTCGCCCTGTCAGGATCATCGCTTTAAACCTTCTGCCCTTCCCACATCCTTCCTGCAAACCAGAGGAGGCACCTCCGTCCTGCCCCGGCTCTCTCTCAGAAGCCAGCAACTGAGGCAAAGTGGGGAAGATGATGGCGACCAGTTTCTTTCTTCCTTTTTTAAAAATTAAACTGGGTTTTTGGTTATTCCTGAAAATCAACAGCAAAATAGAAGCGGTGTCGTTCTGCTCCGTGTACAATCCGTAAGTACAAGGACCAACCAGGTGATGACCATAAAGGCGAGCTCATGGGACGTTGAACTACAAAAACGTTAAATACCCCCCCCCAATCGCGTTAATGGAGTCTCGTATTTCCTGCAGCATTTGAAATGGCACAAATCATTATTGTTCTGTCTTTGAAACTTTGTCCCAAATAGTTGAACAGCAAAGCTGGCTGGCCGAGTGAAGGAAGTTTGTTTACAACAGCGCCACCTGGTGGCAAAGTTTATTTAACACATCCCCGTGTCAAAATGTTTAGGGTCTCGGTCACTTAGTTCTATGGGGAAAATCGCCTTGAATTATTCAGTGTTCGATTATTGACCGTCTTCAAGAACACACCTCTCGCATACCATCTGGCGGCAGTGCATCGTGCTCATCACCTTCCTCATGACTAGAGACCTGTTTGGTGCCAAATGTCATCAAATCCAAGGAACTGCTTCAGCTTAATTCACAGAAATATTCACACTTACCAAACTCACGTATAAACTATAGCCAGCTACCCAGCTCTATGTCAAAAGCACAGGCTTAGCTCAACTGCTTTACCAGCCGTCAGCAAGTTACTTAACTTCTCTGGGCCTCCGCTTTCTCATCAGTCAAGTGGCAAGAATAAATCCACCACCTTAAGACAATGCATGTAAAGTCCGCCCCCCAGTGCCGTCTCTGGCACAGAGTAAACGCTCAGGGCTCTTCTGTTAAGTAGAGGGGGAAAGAGCAATGTTCCAAAGGTTATCCCATCTCTGGTCCCAGTAATAAATAAACCGTAGCGTGGGCATAAAGAGGAATCGGCAGACATCAGGTCTGAACTGTTGAAAGTGGTTGTCTTTACAGGAGGGACGTTTCACTTCCTACACTACAGATGTACATGATGGTGCTGTTTTATAAAGACACATCACGCTGGCGTAGTTTTCAGATTAGGAGATGCTGGTGTTGTGGCAAAAATATACATGGCTCAAAACTGACCATTTTTAAGTGTACAGTCCAGTGGATTAGCACATGCACGTTGCCATGCTTCTGTGATGGCCGTCTCCGGAACTTTTTCATCTTCCCAGACTGCCACTGTGTCCCCATTAAACTCTCCTCCTCCCCTGCCCCTCGTCCCTGGTGGCAACACCAGCCTACTTTCTGTCCCTGTGGATTCGACTACTCCAAGTGGACTCATACAGTGTCTGGCCTTTTGTACAAAATTAGGTTTTTTAATGGAGCACTGAGGAGGTGCTCGAGCAACACCTCTGTCCCCTGTAAAGCCCTCAGTCACTGTGTTTTTTATTCCGAAAGTCCTAACAGTGTGGTCCAGGGACCTCAGAGGGTCCCCAAGACCCCTTGGGGGTCCACAGGGGTCAAAAGATCTAATACTAGGAAGTTATTCAATTTTCACAGTTTCTCATGAGTGGAGTTTTCCAGAGGCCACATGATGTGTGATGTCCCAAAAGACCGGATGCTGGGCAGTAAGATGCTAGTGAGTAACAAAATAAAAAAAGTGAAACAATGTCACTTTTCTCATAAAATGCTTTAGCCTTGGAAATCTGCTATTTACCAAGAAAAGATACGTTATTTATATTAACATGCGGTGGGTTTATTGTTTTTCCTCTTGAATTGAAGTTTTAATTCTGTTTTAAATTTGAATATGGTAAATATTAATACGCATAACCCGCAGAAACAAAACCTTGTGAGGCCCCTGAAGAAGTTTTTAAGAGTCTAAAGCGATTCTGAAGACAAAAGTCTTAAGAATGACCATGGTCTGTCAACCTTTCCAACAACGAATGATGCTTGGGTTGGCACAGACCAAGGAAAGCTTTTTCTAGACACAGGGGACTTGTGAATGGCTAAACTTCTGAGATGGGAATAATCCCCTTTTCCAAGCACTATCCCTGATCTCCAGTCATCTGATCAAAGTCTGCCCCCCAGCCACCCCCACCACTCTCACCCCCACCCACACACACACCCGGTGAAAATCCACCATTCAGGTACCCAGACTGACGCTCTCCCTGAGCCTGGCTACCTTTCATTCCTCTAAAATTCCTGTCCCACGAATGCTCCTCTCTGTAAAACTCCCCTCACTTGGCAGGGTGATGTCTAAGAAACAATCATAATAGCTACATAACTAAGTAACAACTAACCAGTGGTGACAAACAGCAAGTTCATACTGTGTAGCACAGGGAACTGTATTCAAACCTTGTAGTAACTTCTGGTGAAAAAGAATATGAAAAAAAAATACATATGTTCATGTATGGCTGAAGCATTATGCTGTACAGCAGAAATCGACACAACATTGTAAACTCACTATACTTCAATACACACACACACACACACACACACACACACACACACATATACATATAAAGTAAAAAAAAGTAACCAGTGGTGAGTGTACTTTACATTTGTTACCATGGATAGATAGAAATGCTCATGTCACATAACTCAGTAAATCATTTCAAAGGTATGAGGCTATTCTGAGATAATTCTAGACAACCCCTTCTCCATATTTAAAGAATTGGCGGGTTAGGATAAACCACATATATTATCCATCCATCCATCCATCCATCCATCCATCCATCCATCCAACCTACCGACAAATATTGAGAGTGCCCAGCTCTGCTTGGGCCCCGGGGACACACTGATAACAAATTTCTGCCCTCGGGGTGGTCACCTTCCTCTCTTCAAGGTGATAAAACAAGCACACGTAAGACCGCAGGTAGTGCCGAGTGCTGTGAAGAAAAATGTCCGAGCCAGAGGCTGGGGGGAGGGCTGGGACGGCTGGGGGCGCGGGTGACATAGGAGTGCTTGGATGCAGATTATCCAAGGTCAACGTGGTGCCAGGTGTGAAACAGCAATGGCACCGCTGGTGAAAGGAAGGCTCCTAGAAGGTTCCAGCGGGAAAAGCGAGTCCCGGGGGGCTGCTGTCATCAGTGAGAAGAGGGAAGGGGAATGAGGGTCCGGCCCAATAAGCAGAGCCGTGGCCAGCGCCGGGTCTTAGTGTCTGAGTCATACAGGCCATTGGAGGGCTTGAGCGCGGACAGGGTAAAATCCTGTCTGCTGTAAGAGGTTGTGCAGGCAGCCGCATGGAGGTTAGATGGAAGAAGCAGCAGCTACAGAGGGAAGAGGGGAGACTCGGGAGGTGACGGCTGTCGTCAGGGCGAAGTTGCGTCTTGGTCTAGGGTGTTATCGGCGGGGGTGATCGAAGACGGGCCTGAGTCTGCGGGTGTTTTGAAGGAACAGAGGGAACGGGTTTGCTCTTAGACTGGATGAGAAATGAGAAAGAGGCGTCCAGGGTGACCACGAGGGTTTGGTCCACTCATCGGAGTGAGGAAGACGGGCAGTGACAGGAGGCCGTCCATTCGGGGCATGTTGAGCTCAGGTGCCAGGTGGGGACCCAGGTGCAGATGCGGAAGAGGCAGCCGTGAGCAACACGTCTGGGCTCAGGGGCGGGGACGGGGCTTGAGACAGTCCTGAGTTTGGATGAAGGTGGACAGAGCCCTGACCCTCGGGGTCCTGCCCTGTCAGAGGCAGGGAAGGTAAAGACCCACTTGTTCCTAAAATCCCTGCGGGGGCCGATGGCGGCCAAAGTGAAAACCCCTGGGCCGAGGACGGTAGTAAGTGGTCCGCTGACATGATCCCTGCGAGCCGCGAAGCTCAGGGGCGTTTAAATAATCATGATGGTGAGATTACAGCTGCCAGCGTGAAGCTATTTCAGGTCACTTAGAATTCCAAATAGAATGTCTAGGAAGTTTAGGTAATTTCCCGGCCTTTGGAGTAAATAAGAACCCCCTGGCGTGCCTGGTCGGCATTCAGATTTCTCAGCCCCACCCCAGACCCGGCAGCCAGAACCGGGGGAGGTCAGGCTGGGAGATGTGCCCAGTGACCGGACGGCTACAGCCTGTAAGGGCCACAGACGTTCTAGAGTTGGATGTGTGTTTAAGGGCAGATAAGAAATGGGATTTTTGTCTTGTTCCTTTGTGCCTTTTCTTAAACTCACAGGTTGGAAATCTTTGTCACATGAATATGTCCTGTTCATACTAGAAGGTAGAATCTCACTGAAAGGACGTACAATTGGATTAACATCAGGTCCGCAAGTCCTGAGCACTGGCACAGAGATGTCACCCAGGCGCCATAAAACTGCTTAAGAGAAGGGAAGGCTTAGGTCTAACAAAGTCTGAAAATGAACCTGAGATTCTGCGTGTTCTCTCTGACCCTCGGAAAGAAAGCCAAGTGTTAACAGAATATTCACCAAAAGATCCAAGCCTGTCCGTCACAGCGCCCCACAATGTTGTCTGGCCTTGGAGACACATGTGGCCTTCTAGGAACCTCGGGCTCCTCATCTGTCCAACTATAGTCGAGTTCAGCCTCTGGAATCAGCTCTCTCACCTTGACATTGCACCGCCACGAGGGCTCTTGCCTTATTTCTTTTTCAGCACTTGCCCAACTTGAGCTAAGATCTGGTCAGTCTACCCATGCAAAAATTTTGAACTTTAGCTATTTGGGAAATGGTGCAGAAAAAAAAAGTCTTCAGTGCATAGAAGTAATTAACAGTCACAATTTTTCTGGCTTCTTTTAATCACTTGAGTGACTAAGTACTAAGGAAAGAGGGCACCTAGTTTCACCCCTGCCCCTCTGGTCTGCTCTCCAGTTATCCTAAAATGTAACTCCGAACATTTACAAAACTCCCACTGTGCTTAGTTCAACCTTGAGTCGTTACCCACATTTAATGTGACTTCCTGACTTGCCCAAACTCGTCCTCAGCAGTGGTTCACCCCAGGGGACATTTGGATTGCCTGAGGTATTTCTGGTTGTCAGCACAGGGTGGGGGTGGGGGAGGAGGGGTGCCACTGGGATCTGCTGGGTGGAGACCAGAGATGCTGCTACACGTCCTACAGCGCACAGGACGGCCCCACAACAGCAACCTGGTCCCGAAGTACAGTACTGCCGAGGCCGAGCCCTGCAGTCCGCAGCCACGCTGGCCTCCGTTCACATCTTCAAACACATAGAGGCTTCCCGATCGCAGAGCCCTCCCTGCCTCTAGCCTTATTACAGGCTGCTGTATCAAAGGCTCACACCGCATGGCCAGCAACTTTTATATTTTGGGGTCTCAGCTTGGAACCTGGCCTCACCACCCGGCTCACCTCTTCTCCAGGTGACTCTCTCCTGGGTTCCCCCACCACTGCAGCACGTCGGAAGTGGGCCTGCGCACCGGCTTCCAGTCCGTATGCAGCACTCCCGTGGAGAGGGTCAGGCCCGAGGGGAGACAACTCATGACTTCAACTTGGATTCCTGGGACACACATCCCTAGCACTAAGCACCTAGCACTAAGCACCGAGCTCTGAGCAGAAGGTCGGTCAAGATGTGCCGAGTAATCAAAAACAGGCAGAGGCCACCAACTTCCACCTCTCCAAATTAAGATTTTTTTCTTTGAGTCATTTGATTTTTAGGAGGAAAAGTGTACTCTTTCATTCTTAACATTAATTCTTAACATTAACAGCCCTGAAATCAGCCTGTACTAATGTGCGCTGTTCGCTCCTTTTTGCAGAAGGAAATGTGAATACACTGCCTGGGTCCCTATCTTTTCAAAAAGAAACAATGGAAGGATAAATCAAAAGCTAATTTTTAAATAGTGCCACTTTTGAGACGGGAGGGAACAGGGTGAATGGGATGAAAAGCTAGACTTCTCCGAACATACCTGGTTTTATAGCTTTGACTATGGAATTGCATGTTTTGCATAATAAAACTATTTAAAAGAAGAAAGCCAAAGCAGTGTCTAAAGATGGAAAACACTGACTCTAACAGCGGGGAGGCTGCGGCTGTGCCCACAGGTTAAGTAATTCCATTCCAGAGCACGTGGCACATCCCTTGAGTGGAAGTTACTCGGCAGAGACCCTGGAAGAATTGACGGCTGGCCCCACCCGCAAAGTTCCTGATGCAGCAGGTCTGGGGTGAATTTCTAATAATTTCTAACGTTAAATTTCCTAGTGTGCTATAAGTAAAACTATTTTTTTTTCTTAACTGAAAGCTTCACTTGGTAATCATGCTGTTAGTGACAATATTAGCATCGTGATTTGTTAGTGGAATAAAGTAGGTAGGTCGTATCATCAGGGATCCAGGTGTTCAGAGAATTAAATATAAATTAGTGAAAATGCTATCTTAAATTTGAATTAAAAGCAGCAGGACAGCTCGTCGATTTTTCCCCCTTAAAAAAAAAGTGTAGGGGCAGGGGGATAGCTCAGTGGTAGAGTGCCTGCCTAGCACGCACAAGGTCCTGGGTTCAATCCCCAGTACCTCCACTTAAAAAGTAAGTAAATAAACAAACCTAATTACCTCTACCCCTAAAAAAAAGTATTTCCTTGTCCCCTACGTCAAAAAGGCCCAGGAGCTGAAGCAACCCAGCTGTAATGAGTACCCCTTACCCCCAAATTGCCACCCCTAATTGCCACCTCCCATAAGAGGGCCCCAGGGTCCCTGGGGAGACCACTGCCTCCAGGGCTGCGGCAGGTAATCTGCAAGATGAGCTCAGAACTCGTTGTCGTGGCAAAAAGCTAAGGGGCTACTTCAGGCTGTGCCCAAGACATGCTGAGCCAACTCAAAGGAGACCTTGAGCATCAAAGCGACTCTGCAATTGCTTAAAATACGTCAAATGCATGATGACTTCATGACGTGACACTTTCATGCTCACTCACCAGTCACGCCTGGAAAACGCAGGGCACGGACTCCCTGCTCTCAAAGCTGGTTCATCAAAAGGGGAATCAAGCTTTATAACTTTTTTATTCAAATTGTATTTCAGGGTCACCAACCCAGCACAAGGGAGACCTTCTTTACAGAATTCCAACTAGTAAGTGCGGAAGGAATGATAGAACCTCTTCAAAAATCACCTTTTGCAATATTCCTCATGTTCAGCAATGACGCTAAAATCCAGACGAGAAAGGTTGGTGGGGAACTGACTGCTTAGCCCGACATCTGAACCCACCATCACTTCGGACTGGAAAACCAAACACTACACGTCCAGAGTGATACCAAAGTCCGATGGGAGGAAGAAGCACACCCTCCCCCAAAACTGAGCGCACATCTGCTTTAAAGCTCTAGACTTGATTCACCCGTGGAGCCAGAGAAATGGTTAGATGAAGCCACAAATACGCAGTAAATCCAGACAAGAAGGTGAGAGCTTGTGTGTGACAAATGACTCTGTTTCTTCAATAAAATGCCACAAAGTGTGTGGGTGTGTGTGGGCGGGGGTGGGGGTTAGATTAAAATAGGCTTAAGGAACCATCAGTTAACCCGAGAAAGTGGACCTTGTTTGGATCCTGACTGCAACTTACCAACGTCCTTGCGACTACCTGGAAGGGCAGGCACGGAGGCTGGTCATGCAAAGTTGCTGTGCATCTAGTTAGATGTGATCAGGAAAAGCACTTACCCATGAGACACACTTACTGAAGTATTTTAGGGATGAAATTAAATCATCTTAAGATTCGCTTTAAAATACTCGGGAAAGGGCAGGGGTCACCAAAAAAAGTGACAGATGTTGCCAGCGAGCACATGGGGATTCATGATACTAATCTCTCTACTACTGTAGACGTTTAAAATTGTATTTATAAAAAATGAAAACAAAATCAGAAACCAGGGACACAATAACGACCAGAGCCCAAGACTGCAAAACACCAAATCTATATTTACATCCACATATAATAACATAACTTTAAGCTGAAATATATCATAAATAAAACAAGTAATGTCTACAGTTTGACAACTTAAGTATCAACAATTAAAATAAATCAAACTGGAATGAAATAAATACATAAACAAAAAATCCAAAGGATTGTACCTCTATTATATGTACTGTTGTCTCAAAGGAAAAAAAAAAATACACAAAACCAGTAGTATCCCAATAGTTAATACTGATGGACCAAAAAAATATATTTTGGAGAACAAGGACTGTGGGGGAAAAAAAAAAACTGACATCTGTATGCATTCAGAAACGTAGTTAAAAAGGAGAAATCTAAAAGCCCCCAAATTTCAGCAAAACACGAATTGACTTGTTTTCAAATAGATTTGGTGATTTTTTTTTTTAAATACAGATTTAAATTTCAGCCCTCTATTATCATGTATCCACTTTTAGGATTTATATTTATAGTCACAGCAAGCTGTCTGGAACACTCACTGGATTAGGTCAAGATCAGGTCAATTATCTTGTAAATGTGTTAATCTTCAAAAATAGGCTATAAAAGTGCAAAACTATGAAAACAAACATCTAGATTATGTACATATGGCTCAGCTTGTGGACAGGAAAAAAGTAAATAGTGTACACTTTCCTGATACAAAGCACTTCATCGCGATGCCAGAAGACTGTTCTCCAATTAGGCCTCCCTTTGCCCACGGGAGTTAAGACTTCTCTATCAAGTAGGCGTCATGTTGCATAATGAAAACAAACAAAAAAAATCAGGATTCTTTTAGGACATTACCCTTCCTCTGATGGAGAAGGGCCGGGCAAGACAAATTAACAGTGCAAATTTATTTTGATACAGTTTCTTCATAAAGTATATTTTGTGGTCGCTAAACCCAGGTACTGCTGAATACACTCAGCCGTGGACAGAGGATTAAAGGAACAAAAGTTTAAAACATTTAGTAAGCCGGCTGGTGGCTATCCTCTCTTTTAAAAACCCAAATTGCTTGTACACTGACAAAAACGCTGCTTCAAACCAGCCAACCCTGGGAAGACAACTGAGGTCTCAGAACTGAGTCCCTCTTCCCCGGGCACCACTCCTGGTGCAGAACTGACGTGCCCGTGATTAACTTGAGTGTGTCCACAGTTAACCCAAATGCCAGGCGCACCCAGCCCTCCAAATACAAACCTAAAATTCACCCTCGTTTCCTTTAAAATTGCTTCCAATGTATGTAATTCACATGTATAGTTCAGCGTTTATATTTTTTAATGTACTAATTTAGGCAAACGCCAAAAAAAACCCCACGAATTTTCCAACAGAAATGATTAACTTGATAGAAAACAAATTTAAGTAACTCTACATACAATGTGGTATGTTTACTGAACGTGTAGCTGGCCTACAGAAGGAATACTTCTCTGTAGACACACGCACTTAAAAATCCCACAAACCACCCATTTACTCAGAAAAGGATGGTGGATCGAGGTCCTTCTCGGATGATGCCCTGAAATTTGCAGTAAAGGGCACCCAGGTCAGAACGGCTGACCTCGATCACGCAGCACGTATCATAGGTCGATGCTTCAGTTAACAATTTTGTCAAAGACAATAGACTGTGGAGGATTTAACATTATACAAATCATTGAAATTTTTTTTTTAGAAACATACATTTTAAATGAAAGAGGACAAATAGCAGAAACTTGCTCAAAGTGATGAGCTACATTAGAGAAAAAGAATACACACAGTATTTAAACAAGCAGGTTTACAACATATATTTACAGATTTTTACCTGAGGTGCAAGCGTTATATACTTTCTCCCCGCCCCACCCCCCCAACCCAAATGATTTCTTTTCAGCAGCGCTCAAGTATGCAAAAAATTCCATTTCTTATTTGGTCAATTCTAAAAAAAAATATTATTTGGGGCAAAATAGAGATGTCTGGTCTCCATCTGTGTACAACCCAACTGTTTCAACTATAGTTTTTATTGCTATTTGGTACAAAAATTAACAGAACAACTTTACAAAACCGTAGTGTTCCTTATATGTTATATTTACAGTACAATCACAGCTTATTTCAGTAGCTTTCACCATTTTCTTTTTCAAAAGATGAACTAATTTAATTTCATGGAGAGTACACATCCATCAAGACCTAAGGAGGAAAAAGGTATAAAAATGATTAGAATAAAACTGAATACAGTTCAGAAAAATCTTTTAACAAAAAGTGTAACAAATAAATAGAACTATATAGAGACCCAGAAATGCAACAGATTCAATTTAAGCTTAAATTTTGCAAAGTCTCAGAAGACTAAAAAAATAGATCAGCTGCATTATTTAGGAGATGCTAATATCTACTTAACTGTGATTTACTGAAGATGATTTAACCAAGAACCAGAATTACATCAGTTACAGTTGCCAAAGACAACTGCCACCTCTAAGAAACCCTGCAAGTTTACACCTGATGAAAGGAAAACACATGACGTGGACTTAATACAGCAAATGACTCAGAAGAGCCTCCTGCATGGGAAGGCTGGTGCATGAGACCCGTGTAACACGCATTCAGTCAGCACCTGTTCGGGAACAGGTACGAAGCACAGCACAGAGGGAACACAAACAGGCAAGCCCCAGCCCCCAGCCAATATTCTGCAGAAATGATATGTGAGCTGGTCCTGAAGCATCCAAATATCAGAAGGAGGTTGTTTGCCAAGAAGGTGCAGGAAGGATGTTTCCAGGTGGAGGGAGACGCAAGCAGAGAAGCCCAGAGGCTGCAGGAAGAGGCCTGAGCTGGACAACCAGGGCCGTTCCCATTTGCCGTTATCGACTGGCTGGGACACATAGCGCAAATGACCTGCTGCTTCTAACCCGTAAGTTGTTTTCATGTTTCAAGGCAGAGTGGATTTAATCTCATCCCTGTGATGACACCACTCTTGTACTACTGATGTCATCAGAACTGCACCGGCTGACGCGCCCCATGAGCCTCGGGGAAAAATTCTACCCTGGACCTCGAGAGTGTCTCATCTCCGTACCAAGAACCAGCAGGCCGTCAGTCAAGAGACTGCTCCATGAGGACGCTGTGGTGGTTTAACCGGACAAGAGTCATCTGAGAGGGAACTAAATCTTGTCCAAGAGCCCCAATCTTTCCAACCAATTTAACTTTAAAAGCGTCCCAGTGTAACTCTCACATAGACACCATGCCCTCTGCCCAAACTTGGAATTAACTAAACTAACGTGTGTACGCCTCCCAGGACACTACCGAGACTATTAGGTATCTCTAGTTAGATACCTCTGCGATGTGAACCAAAAAGTCAAAATAAACCTACTTGCTCTGTCCCACTCCCCTCAGATAAGGTTTTATAAAGGCTTTGAACAAGAACTTAAACTGGAGGGTTGGAGCACAGGCCTTGGACGGTGCAGACCTAGGATCAAAACTAGGCAGAATAAGGCCTTGGACAAGTTACCTAATGCAAGGCTCAGTCTCCACATCTGTAAAGTGGGCCCAGAACCTCCTAATCCAGGGGTCAGCCAACTTTTTATGTAAAGGACCAGACAGTTAATATTCTCAGCTTTGCAGGCCACGAAATCCGTCAGAATCTGCTGTTGTGGCACAAAGCAACCACAGACAGACAGTATGTAAAGGAATGGCTGTGGTTGTGTGCCAATAAAACTTTATTGACAAAACGAGGTGGTGGGCAGTTGGCTATCCTCTGCCCTTGAGTCCCCTGCTATAAGAAGAGTAAATGAGTTCACAACGAGTAGACACTTCATTCAATGCCCGGCACGAAATAAATGCTTAGTAAATTCCAATTGTTATTACTGTTTTGACCATTATCATCACCACTGAGATCCAGATACCCTAAGGACTCTGTTTTAAAACACCTCAACATTCACATTAAAAGCAATTTTACTTCAGATTATTATGTTGGATAAGCTAGATGGTTTGCTTTCAATTAAATAAAATCAGTATATTATATATGCTCACCTTTCATCCCCAAAATAGAAAAATCAAGTTTTTTTGTCATTTGGTCGATAATGTGCATTCCCAATAAAATTCTCATAGTTCCGCTTTTGTAGCATGCTGCTAGATAAGTGTTGATAAGACACTGGCCTTTTTCCTGATTGAAAAACAAAAAGTGTAAAAGGGCATTTAGAATTAAGTTCCACAATTAGGTGAGAGTGCATGGGTTGTCAGAAGTCAATTTGCAAAATTCCTAACTGATCAAATGATCAGAACACATAAGACAGATACATGTTGAGAAGTTACAGGTGACATATTTTTAAGTCCCATGAGGACATTTCTTAGCACAGCATTTTAAGTCACTAAAGCTAAAATTATCTAAGTTCTAGTCAGTCATTAGTAAGAATTAAAAAGCCAAAAGAAAACAGGAGCATAAAAATTTTAAACCTTTGTGCACCATGAACCAAAACTGGGTGGAAGAAGGAGGGAAAAGACCAATTTACTTGCAATATAAAGCTTTTCTCTTCAAGCAGGCAGTTATGACTCATGTCCATTTTAAGCATCAAGGGGGGAAAGAATGGACGCTTTTAATCAAAAGGCAGCAAAAATTAACTTTTCATCACAATTTTTATAAAAGTCACTGGAGTGTGTGAAAGCAATTGTTTTGTAATTTGCTGTCCCTACCAGATCAACTGGTATCAAGCCATCCTTGATAAGACTGTCACCACACAGAATCCTTAATTCGAAATTAATACAAACTGAGGAGTTTAAAATGGATCTGTCCCTTTGGGGCAGACAGACCCGCAGAGCTTCTGTCTGGCAAAGGCAGGCATGCTGGTTTGATCCCGTTTGCCAAGTAGGACAGGCGCCGAGGACACTCTGCTCTACCTTTTCACACGCACAGGTAACACCTCTACGAATCGCTGCCATGAGGGAGCAGGGGCTATAAGAACACCTCCACGAGGAGACAGAACAGTAACAATGGACAATCCTGAGAAAAACTTCCCTTTTAAAATTCACTTACTATTTAACCAAGGCTAAATAAGGCAGCATAATTCTGTAGGTCCTAACATCAAAGCTGTTCAAAAGATTGTTTAACCAGCAGTGCTTACACCTTCGGCTCTGGTAGACCAAGGGTCCTCGTGGGTATTTACCGAGGACCCCTCGCACCCCGTTGTGTAGGGCGCGTGACAGGGCTCCACATCAAATGTCCATAAAATGTGTTTTCTGCCCTGAATGAGTTCACAGTCCAGTCAGGGTGGAAAGGCATGGAAGGAAGTGCCCCACATCTCCCACCTCCCAGGCTGGGCTGGGCTGGGGTGCTGGGCACTGCCTTAACGTGCAAAGGAGAAAACGAGACTAGGATGAGGTGAGGTGAGCAGGGTAGAAATGACACCTGAAATTTCAACAGCAAGGAAAGGATCAGTCTCCTGGTCCCCAGCCACTCTCCATGACCCCCACCCACCACCCCAAGGAAGGGAGAAAACGAAATTAAAAGGGAGAAATGAAACACTGAGGAATAAGCTTTCCCCTGCGGGGCTGATTCTTGGGGTCCCAGACCACTGCCACATCTAAGAACGTCTGGCCCCTTCAGAAGTCCCCCACCGCGCCCCCTTCCCCTGGACGCCCG